GATGTTGATGGGAAGTAGGGCTACATCCCTCCATTCCCTTTGCTTTTTAATGGAATAGTAATGTCCTATAGTTTATTTTTCTTGTAATTTCCTTTAAGTTAAACATGAAGTTTATTTTTGTAACATATTTCAGTTACTTCTTCTTTATTTTTGCTATGTCTTGTTAATTTTATTGGGGTTGAGAAAAGATGAACTTAATCTTTTACCCATTGCAATGAACTGAACAATGATTATAAATTAAATACAAGTTGCAATCTAACATATTTAATTCTGAGCTTAATGCTTCTCTATTCTTTGTATTCAAGGTTGATGAAAAAGAGTTTATAACTAGAAAGTTGTGACCTTTCTTAGATTGGAATTAAATTGCTCATTATGGATTTTCTAGGAATAGAAATTTATAGTGATGGGGTCTTGTTGATTTCTAAATTGAATGCTGATCATTTTCTTAGTTACCTAAGGAATTGAGAATCTAGAGTTGATTTAGAACCAATCAACCAAGGAATTGGTACTGGGTATTGTAGAAAGTTTGGCCATTAAATTAGACTGTATTATGGGTTATATATTTTTAAGCAATGGTAAATGATTAAGAGACTTTGAACTCAACTCACATCTTAATTAATTTACAACTCATTTTTGTTCCCTTATTTAATTATATTTTGTAATTTAGTTCATTTCTAGTTAATCCCTTGTAACGGCGATAACGACCGAGACTCGATAATCCTACTACTTTTAGATAACTTCACGTGTAATGTATATAGATTGCTATTAAGAGTCTTGGACCAAATGAGATTTTTTTTTTAACATGAGTGCATAGGATTATTCAACCTGGTTTATGGATACCAATATCATTCTTAAGTATTGAGAAACTTGCTTTTTAATATATTTTAAAGTGACACGCAGTCACAACATAGATCTTGATTCTTATACACCTGATAGGCAACAATTTATAAAGATTCATGTCATACTTTTATTACTAATAATTACTCATGAGATTTTGTTTTCTTCAATTACTTATAGTTTAGAAAATTATAATATTAGTAAGTACCACTTGAATAATATAGTCATACCATGTATTGACATAAACCATACAAGTGGACTTAAGTCGTTTTCACTTGCGCATGAGCCAATTACTAATAATATGAGATACAACATGTGATTTATCACTTCAACTAGAACTCTCTTAGGGGACGAACCCACAGAGTTCACGTTCATTACCTGCATGCATTGAAGAACCAATTTCCTGCCTATTTAATTCTATCAAATAAAATCAGAAAATAATTGATAACATAAACTTGGTTATATAAATAATCCCATAATTATCCAAAGTAACCGCAAATTATCCAAGAATCTTAAAACACAATCCACGACCATCAGAGTACCAAAACAAAGTACGTTACACCTAAGCTACCAAAATAAAATATAAAGTATCAAATTTTCCACCATACAACGAGTGGAGTCCTCTAGCAGCGGACAATAAAAGAAATAACTATACAACGGTTAGGACTCCTTGGAAGGGTCCTCCTCTATCTCTTTGGTATCTGAAGAATCCTCTTCAAATTGAGCTCAATATGGAGAATAAGATGGAGAAAGGTCATTTTCAAGACCTATGACAACTAAAAGAAGATGTCCAACACCACAATATATTTTAACAAAGAAAAGAAGGAGTGAGATATATTTTCAAGTAAATAACCTTCAGAAAAGAAACAAAACAAAGTACGAGCATACGTCACATTAACACCATTGTAACTTTTACGATCTAACAAAATGCAAGTCTAATTATATAATGCATGATTAATGCAAATGCTAACTCTTGGTTTAGCAAAATCTCACTTTTATGCTTATGTGACACTAGATACACAACAATCCTATTGTTTGGAAGTTGTTGGGAGTTTCACTAGTCAACCTACATTTTACATGTAAGGTGGGAACTTGAACCTCCACTGACCGATCTAGCTCAACCAACAAGATAAGCCTCGGAAGAAGTTAGGATAAAAGAGCATTGCGTAGAGACTCCCAGTAAATCCCCTAGATGTCGAGGTCTTCCCTATCTTTCACGAAGAACAGTTATCACACTTTTGAAGTTTCACTCCCTTAATCACGCACACAAGCATTGGCCAAATTTAAGATTTCACATGATTTCATCAATTATTCAGAATCATATATATGTAGAGAATTGGCAAGTAATTATATTCGTGTCTCAATGCACTTTCTCTAAGTGTTCCAAGCTCACTAGCTTTTTCACAAAGGTGTTGAAAAGCTGCCAAAATTTTAGCTTAGTAAAGCTTGAACCTAAGTCCTTTAAAGACAAGAGAAAGGACTAACCTATCCACCACTACACCACCTTTGTTAGTGTGTAAGAAATTTGGAAATCAATTATACTTAAAGGATTATAAATAATTCAAAGTATTAAAAAATCTAATCTTTAAAAAATAAATCAAGCATGTATTTAAAGACGAATTATTTTAACGAAATAAATACTTTTATCTCAAAAATTCTTTAACTAAAATCTTGAAATTTTGTAAAATACATTAATTACTTTTGAAACAAATAAAATTGTACTAACACACGTGAAGATGGAGGGAGTAAAAATCAGGATGTTACATCCTTTACATATGAATTTCACTCTTTTGTTAATTTAATTTTTCAGCACTTTCGTTTCATTTTTACATTTTGTACATTATCTAAAAGTCCCTTTCAAGTTCATACTTTGTTTTACGACCCAACTAGTGATATTTTTATAGTTTTGTACTTAGCATTAATCCAAGTATATGATAAAATCTATTTGTTATTGCAAATGATTTGAAAGTTAATGTTCTGGATTTAATTAAGTATATTGTGAAGCCATTGATAGCAACATTAAACACAACAGCTTCCTTCCATGCTCAAAGAATTGAACATTTATGATCCTACGAATTTACCAAAGGGTTGGATGCAAAACCTGACTTTTTCCGAGTCTATTGAGGAAGTTCATACTGGTTTTCAAGGCAACAACTCCCTTCCCTCTCTGTTAGGAAAACTTATCACAAGAAGAAACTTATTAAAATAAGTTGGGAAAATTTATAAGAGTTATAAATTGTCTTTAGAAGCTCTTTGCAATATTTCTTATAATAAACTATTTGCTAAATCAAATATAAAAATAAATCAACTTACACATTTAGAGACTAGATTTAAATATTTTTCTTTCTTTCCCATAACCTACATGCTTTCCTTAAAACAAACTATAATCAATTATAATAATTGTAATTTTTAAATTATGTAACACAAGGTGAATAAAAAATAGTTTAAAATTTTTTTGATATAACATGAGTATAAAATTTTTAATATTAATAATTAATTACAAATTATCAGTATAACTTTAAATAATTATTATATTACAACCTATGGTTAAATAATAATACATAAGCTATCTTAATAAAATTGTAAAACATGGCAAGTGTATTACAAAAAAAACTACAACATATAAAATTGTTGTACATTGGTGCATTCTAAAAGAAATGTAATTATATTGCAATGGACATTACAACTGAGGCGAAATATAACACCTTAAATTTAATTTCAATTAAATAATAGTTTCATAAATTCGAATAACAGAATTTCATAAAATATTTTAAAATGAGGTAGGGTTACAAGTTAATACCAAATAACTGCTATAGGACTAGTTCAATTACAACATTTTTAAAATAAAATCTAAGTCCTATAGCACTCATAGCAAACCGTTTCTGTAACAAATCTTCTACTTGCTTCTTGACCTCCGCCAACTCCACTGGTGACATCCTGTAAGGTACTACAGAAATCAGACTTGCTCCCAGAATAAGGTCAATAGCAAACTCTATTTCCCTCTCCGGTGGCAGCTCGGAAACATCTTCGGAAAATACTTCCAAGAAATCCTTTACCACTGGAATATACACCGGCTCCACCATACTTTCGGCCTCCATTGAAAACATCACCATGAAGGCCTTGGCGTTTACCGTGTTCTCCCACGCTTCCTGGCTCATAAGCCTTGGAACCTCCGCCATTGTCCCACCGAAGATCAAAGTCTTCTCTCTATAGTCCAGTAGCACATGGTTGGCAGCAAGCCAATCCATTCCTAGAATTATATCTAGTTGAGAAAGAGGTAAACAAATCAAGTCCACCTTAAATTCCTTACCATGTACCATCATTGCACACCCCAAACATACCCATGACGTCACAACTGGCTTACCCGTAGGGATAGTCACCACAACATTACATGGCAGTTCAGTCACATACAAATTTAGACTCTTCACACAGTCCGCAGATACAAAGGAGTGCATAGCACCCGAATCAAACAACACATCAAGCAATCGACCTTTAATAATGCATTTACCTCAGATCAGCTCCTCTGACTGTGAAGCCTCTGCCCCACTCATAGCAAAGACTCTCCCGAGAATGCTCGGCTTCTGCCCCGTATTTCCTCTTGATTCCGGCCTTTGAGCTGTACTTGTACTGCCTCCCCTTTTGGCGGTCCAGCACTCATTGGCAACGTGCGCTGACTTCCCATAGTTGCTACAAGTTATCCTTGGCTATGGACAGTCCTTCACCATGTGTGGCGCTCCACACCTGAAGCACTTGAGCGGCCTTCTGAAAGAACTCGGTCTTGAACCGCTTCCACTACTCCTCTCTTGGGAAGAACTCTCTCGGGATTGAGAACTATTTGAGCCCGAATACGGTCCCCTTAAGAACCTAAGGGGTCTTCTATCTTGCTTCACTGGGCCGGCTCCCCTAGTGTCTACTGTCTTCCCTCTTGAGTTAGCTTCAAAGATTCTGCTCATGCTCACCAGGGTGGGCAAGTCCGTCAGTTGAAACACATTGACTGTAGCCCGAATGTCTGGCCTCAATCCATGCTCAAACTAAGCATACAGATCCTCTTCTCCATCACCATGCTGATAGTGAGGCCAGTATTTCATCAGCTCCTGAAACTTAGCTGTATATTCCCCTACAGTCATGTGTCCTTGCTTCACTTCAAGTAACTCCCTAACTTTCTACTTCCTTAGGTCCCGGGGAAAGTAGTTCGCAAGGAAGGTGGCCTTGAATGCTTTCCACTGGATGTAGCCATCCTCTTGTGGTAGGGTCTGACCGACAAACCTCCACCAGTCCTCAGCCTCCCCACACAGCAAGTAGGTGGCATAGGTAACCTTGTTCTCCTCACGACATCCCATTGCATTAAAAATCTTCTCCACATCAACCACCCACCTTTGAGCTCCTTCGGGGTTGAATCCACCCTCAAACTTTGGAGGATCATGCCTAGTGAAGGCAGATAACCCTCGATACTCAGCCAACTCTCTGCCTTGATTGTGCACCATAGCTTCCACAATCTGAGCCATGCGCTCCATGAGGTCATTGGTGCCTCTAGCTCCTCTACCTCTACCTCTACCTCTACTAGACATATTCAATCTAACTACAACAAGTCAGCAATCACATTCCAGCACATTAGATCAATTTTATACATTGTAATTCAGGCAAGCAAAATAATCAACACTTATCTTGGACGCTTCAGCCTGATACTCCAGTCCGGTTTGGATGAATTGCTTTGATACCAAAATTGTAACGCCTTAAATTTAATTTCAACTAAATAATGGTTTCGTAAATTCGAATAACAGAATTTCATAAAATATTTTGAAATGAGGTAGGGTTACAAGTTAATATCAAATAACCACTACAGGACTAGTTCAATTACAACATTTTCAAAATAAAATCTAAGTCTTATAGCAGTCCATCCGTCCCTTCACTGAGTCCGGCGCTGATCGTCTTGATTACCTGAAAAATGAATGTAAGGGTGAGTACTCTACACTACCCAAAAACACACAATCAATGTATAGTCTCACTTCCAGAACATTTCCAATACATTAAACAATTATATTCATAAGTAGCATTTCATATTCATTAGTACAATTCATAAACCCATGCATATGCACGCCAACCACATTCACTACAGCACTGTGATCACAGATTTACACCATGAATGGTCGCCGGTTACCCCTGCCTTACGGATACCACGTGGGTAATCATGGGTCACTCAGCAAAGGTAGTGGTAAGAGGTCTAGTCAGGAAGAGAGTGTGTGGCCTGTGGTGCACCCGTTCCGCAGTCGATGTCACCATCACTCCCTCTTCCCCATGGTATTTCTACCGTCCTCATCTTCCACACCCCCAGTGTATCGCTGAACCATTCATAGCGCATTATAACGGCGCTAACATGCCTATTCATATACATTCCATTCACGCATGTAATAATCATGCTTACACACAGCACATAGCCCATATTCGATTCACAGTACACGGCATATAGCCTACATTGCATTCAAATACACGGTACTCGGCCCACATTCATTTCACATTATATGGTACATAGCCAATATTCATCTATATTACAGGCCCTCAGGCCCACATTGGTTTACAATATTCATTCTATCATGCACATCTATCATACAATTCACATTCATCAATTTCGGGTAAACACACACAATATTCACATCTCACAGCACATGGCCCTCATCATATTTCTCAACAATTTCCTACCTTCTAACTCAGTTACGTTACAATATTCAACCATTAACAACAAATCACACATAATAGAGTAGGATAGAGTCCTCTCCTTACCTTGGATTTAAGACCCACACTCGGATTCGACACGGACATGCTCCATACACAGATTTTGGCCTAAAACACATGGAAGAACTCCATGAGAACCCAAGGAAACCCAGAAATAGAGAAAAGGGGATGAGAACCGAAACCTTAACCATTTAAACTCACTTCCAAGCGTTCCCCACACGGATTCAACCTTCAATCAAGCTCTCGAACGGCTTTGGAGGCAATTAATAGGTGGAATAGGGCTTTGGGAATGAGAGAATCGAAGGGATTTCGAAGGGAGAGGAAGAAATAATCCTCCCCGAACCCTAACCCCTTTTAAATCCTTTTCTAGTCGCGACACTCTCGCTACAGCGAAAAACTCAGAGAAATCTGCACTCTAGTTTCTGCAAAATCTCGCTACAGCGAGACTGCACCCAGAAATGCATCCCAAACTGTCGCTCTATCGCTACAACGAGATGTCTCTCGCTACAACGAGACGTATCTCACTACAGCGAGAAGATGATTGTTCTAGTCTTTCCTCCCAGGGCCCTCTCGCTACAACGAGAATCCTCTCGCTGCAGCGAGAACAGCCTAGTATGACGCTCTACACTTAGGCACTTAGCCCATTTCAGCCCAACCAGTCATGCATGAACACATATACATATATATACACATATTCACAACATATATCTAAAAACACACATGAATACACATTTTGATTTATATAAATAATATTACAAAATTTGGGGCGTTACAGGAAACACTTAAAAATAAATATGTTTACGAAAATGGATAAACTTTCAATTTTATTAAAGGTGAGAAAAATTAACAAACTCTTTTAAAAAATAAAATGGTCTATGAAAACCATGTTGGAGTTAGGAGTTGATTTATTTTAGGCGAATGATGGAATCTTAATCCTACAACACACCTTATACATCCATATTAAGATAGTTAACTGTGCAAAAATTTATAATAATTTTAAAAATATTTATTTTACCCTTTGAAATAAATTAAAATAGTAAAAAATTACACAAATAAATGAACAAATAAATTAGGGAATAAATAAATAAGAGAAACAAGAAAATAAATAAGTATAAAAATTTTTGGCTTAATGGTTTTGTTTTTACCTATCTTCTATCTTCTAGTGCAATAAAAAACTCAATGTTACATCATTCTTAAAGATGAGTAAAAAAAACAAAAAAACAAAACAAAGTTGTGCATTATTTGCTGTAAAATTTGAAAATATAATCTTTGTACACATTTTCTTTTTAGGTTCAAGACAAGGTGTCTCCAAGTTTAAAGAGTCAAAGACTATAACGACGTTTTTCTAACGACGAAAATATCAAAAAAAAAATTTTACCCAACCTTAATTGATTCTTATTCTTAGTGAATCATTCTCATACAATTTGTCATATGTATAGTCTAATAAAGCAAACACACTCTTAGTTACAAGCAACTTGTTAGACTCTTAGTTCACAAGGTAAATGTTAAATCTTTAACTAGTATCATACCAATTTGATAAAATCTAACATTGAAGAATTACTCGCCCATTAACTCTAATAACCCTATATTACCTATGGAATTCCATACGTTAATAAGAATCCCCTTGTGCAACCATGATCCAACTGACACAACTGTATTTCTAGATGTAGCAATCTTGCTAACAGAATCTTGTTATAATCCTCAAGTATACCTGTGCCCTTGGACACAACATTGAAGATTCGTAAAACAAGAATAAAAGAGAGGAGTAAGACTTTTCAAATACTCATAAAAGCAGTTAGGACTTGAAAGCAAGGAAAGAAATAATTAAGAGAAAGTATAAACTTATATAAAACATTAATTTTTAAAAATTAACTTAACCAATATAATATAGATAATTTCATTCATCCACAAGCAGGCACCTCATACATTTCTAATTTAATGCCAGACTATGATGTATAGGACTTATGCATATGATGACTTTTGGTTTGGCTTCAAATCATTTGTTATGCTCATACGACTCTTAGATCTATTCCTATCATCAGAAGTTGTTGGGAGTTTCACTAGCTAACCTATATTTCGCATGTATGGTGGGGACTCGAACCTCCACCAACATGATAAACCTAAGGAGAAGGTTAGGATAAAGGAGCATCACATGTAAACTCTTAGCTAGAGTTTCGGGACCTAGGACACTCATAGGGTTATTGGTAAGACACCTAACTCCATTAAATCCCCTAGATGTCGAGGTTTTTCCTATCTTTCACCAACAACAGCTATAAAATAACCTCGTGACTTCCTTCACAGGGAAGAGGTATCCACACCCATTGTCATCTGAATAGTTCATTTCTCTTTTTGATTTTCTCCTTGCCTCGCATTAACTATTTCAGCTGCTGCACTTAGATTTTCTTGCGAACACTTAAAACATAGCAGAAATTATTAACTCAAGCTAGCAAATTCTCATTACAATTGATATTAACAATTAATCCCCGACAATGGCACCAAAAACTTGATAAACTTTTTAGCAAGTGCACCAAATCGTTGAAGCAACAAATTAGATTATCGTCCACAGGGATTAATGCTAAGTACTAACCCACAAGAATAGCACTAGTTGGGTAACCAAAAATAGGATATAAATATAATGAAATTTAACTAAGTGCATAATTATAAACAAAATTAAATTAAAAGTGTGGGAATTGAATTTTATAAATAAACAGAACTGAGAGACTAAAACTGGGAATGAAAATCAAAATAATTATAGAATTTAAATATCGTAATTACTAGAAGTGGGTCTAAAAACAATTAAAAGGCAGGTTAAGTTCGGAATCCCTTATTCCCTTCCTTTTGCATACAAATATATTTATAACTCAAAACATAATTTCATCTAATGGTCAGATTTTTTAAAATACCCAACCCCAATTCCTTGGTAATTAGTTCTAAAATGAAATTAGTGTCCTAATTCTTTATATACAACTAAAAACTTTTAACATTAAGATTTAAACTCATTGACCACGTCATCATAGATTTCTATTCTTAGATGATTCATAATGAGCAAATTAATCCTTATCCAAGAAAGTTCACTACTTTCTAGTAATAAACTCCTTTTCATCAACCCTATTCACGTAAAACAAGGAAGCATTAAGTTCAAAATCAAGATGTTAGATTAAAGTATGTATCTTGAGCTATATCCAATGTTAGTTCATTGCAAAGGACCAAGGAATCCTCACTCAACCCAAAGATCTTTAGCTAGACATAATGAAAGTAAATAATATAAAACTGAAAGAAATTGCAGAAACAAAATTCATGTTCACAGAAACACTTACAGCAAATAGATGAAATGAGAGAGTTACTGTTCCATTAGATAAACCAGAGAAAATGGAAAGGGAATGCAAGTTCCCATAAGAATCCTGTAGAAAACATGTAAGAAAACTACCCTAGATGTCATTTCTACGTAAACTGTACAAAAACCTAGATTTCTGTTCCTCCAGAATGTACTAAAAAGGAAAGATAAAAGATGACTCCTTTAACAGAAAAATTCACTTTTATATGCTCAGTTAGCATCGTGTCTCCACAATCAGAATTTTGTGTCCCCACAAATATGTCTTGCAGCACTCAGCTTCTACTCTTTAATTCCAATTGCCAATTTCCTTCTAATTCCTTCAAAATTCAAATACCAGCATCAAAATATGCATGATCCATAAATTTTCCATCAATTACAACATTTCATTGAATTTTCCAATTAATGGCATTAACTTATCATTTAAATTCAATGAAATATGCCAAAAACCTTTAATTTTCTAGATGAGTTAGTGACTCATCAGCGCAAATTCAAATTAGGATTAAT